AATTTCCTTCATAAGTTTTCTATAGTTTTCATCATACAGATCTCTTGTATCCTTGGTTAGGTTTATTCCGAGGTATTTTATGTTTTTTTGTGCAATTGTGAATGGGATCAGTTTCTTGACTTCTCTTTCTGTTGCTTCATCATTGGTGTATAAAAATGCAACTGATTTCTGTACGTTGATTTTGTACCCTGCAACTTGGCTGAATTCTTGGATCAGTTCTAGTAGGCTTCTGGTGGAGTCTGTCGGGTTTTCGATGTAGAGTATCATGTTATCTGCGAAGAGTGAAAGTTTGACTTCCTCTTTAGCAGTAACTTTTTTATGTATAACCTCATACTTTCTTTTTAAATCTTCAACTGAATTCTTACTTTAAACCTAGTTTAGTTTATTTTTGCATTGCTCTTCAATCTTTTTTGATGATCTTTAAAGGCAGAATTGAATCTTTAGTATGCGTCTAGCAGGTAATTTAATTTAGAATTAAAGCATGCAAAAACTTTCTATGTTTTCTTTTTACTGTTACTATACTTAACTGTATTTCTTGGGAATTATAGATAGATCAAGTAGAGACGTTTATCTAAAATATTTTTATCATCAGTCTACCTCTCATAGTTTGTCACTTAGGAGATTAACTATGAACTAAATATGTTAACAGTCTATTCTCAATATATTTTGTAATGTGAAGTGGACTAAAGTATGTGTGTGAATTTACTTTATATAAAGAATATACTCAAGCTGTCCTCTGAATCTTTTTAAATTTGTGTTTTCTGTTTTGCAGTAATATGGTTTAGCACAGTAAACATTGATTTGGATTTGAGAAATAGTGAAAATGATTTCATTATATATATTTTTTCCCAGTAGAAACCCAGATGTGTAATTTTATTTTACTGGGATGTAGGTTCATATTTTCTTTCATGATCTCTAAGGCTTGGTTTGGTTTGTTCATTTTACAAGATGGATAGTAAAGTGTATTTGCTCTTTAGTAGTACCAGAGCTTAACAGAGTGTCAAGTGCTTGCTGAGTGATGGAACACTTTGCACCTAGATAGTCTTAAAGCTTTTTTTTCAGGACACTTTTGTTTTTCCTCTTTTGTTTAAGTCAGTATCATTATCATCTTTTTTATTTGACAAAATTAAAGGCTAATTAATTAGTAAAGCACTGCAGATCAATTTTGTCAATTTACCTGTGGCAAAACCCTGTAGGAAATAAGGACAAAAGATCTTCTGTTTGTGTTTTATTCCTGGTGGATGTTTTTACTTTAAGGATTAGATGCTTGTTGCCATTTATTTTGTTTCTTGCCTTTTTATCTTCTGTCATAATACTTAGATTCCCTAGATCAGTGGCATTTCTTCAACTAATCTTTATTGAGCATTGTTAGAACTGAACACTTTGTAGTTGTAAATAAGACTGGTTTGGTTTTGGCTGCTTTGGAATTTATAATCTAGTGGGGAAGACAGGCTTTAAATTAGTTTAAAGTGTAAAACTATCAGTATTTAATTAATTGCACTTGAAGTGAGTTTGTGAGGGAGAAAGGCTTTGAATAAATTTATAGTGGTATCAAGAGGCCTAAGCAAAATTCACATTATGGACAAGGATTCTGTACTCTCACACTCAATGGCCAGAATTCCCTTTTGGCCTAGAACCTTAAGTAATTTGAGCTGAGTTTAAAAAGAAAAGTCACAGAATCTTGTGACACAGTTTTGACTTTCTTTAAGGAATCAGGGGAAAGTGTATTAACAGAATTCCATCTTCATTTCACTGCCGAAGAGAGCTATAGGAATCAGCCAGATACTTTGGCAGGGAGTAGCGGATAGGGGAGGAGGGGCATGGTTAATTCTTCTTTCCCATTCCTTATCTATTGAATCAGTCTCTGGAGGTGGGTCATGTACATCTTTATTCCCAGGTCGTTGTGGTGGTCAACAAGATATGGGAACCACTGTTGGGATATCCTAAGAATTGATTGACTGCTGAATTAGAAAAAAGAATATCAGTTTTAGCTGTGAAAATATTCAAGTGATGATAGGATTTTGCTTATAATTTACTTTATAACTTAGTTCTGAATACACTATGGTAGAAATTGGCAGTGTCTGTTTTTTGTTTTCAAAAAGTAATTGCACTTTGGATTGTCAACAGTTGTTGCCCCGTTTAAAAGTGCATGTTAAAGTTAAGTTACCTTTTGTGTTTTCTTTTTTTCCCCTCAGGAACTAAACAGCTTAAGCATATTTTATTAAAAGACGTGGACACTATTTTTGAATGTAAATTATGCCGCAGTCTCTTCAGAGGATTACCAAATTTAATTACCCATAAAAAATTCTATTGCCCACCAAGTCTCCAGATGGATGATAGTAAGTTTTATTCATATATCTAGTTTTGCATTTTATAGTTAAGTATTCGTATACTGCAGCTATATGTTTGTATTAAGATGGTATTGGTAATTTAATGATGGAGAATAAAGTTAAATACTTGATTTAATGTTATATTCATTTTCTTAGATCGGTACTCTCATATGAGTGCTTTTTACTGGGTTTTTCTAAAGATATAGGAGATTAGATTTATGAGTATATTTGTATTAAAATACTGGATATTGTTTTTGAATGTTTACGTAGAGCAGATAGTTTATGTTCAGTATTTTTCTAAGTTAAAATATGAGTGCTTGAAGGGGCTATTGGTATTTTTCATTTTCACTTGTTTAACAACTTGTTACATATGACTGTTAATTTTCTAAGATTACCTTTAAGTAAGTGAGAAGCTAGAAATAGAGTAAAGAATGAGTAAATGAGTTGATTTCTTGGGGATGGTGAAGAGCATTAAAAAATATTAATCTTTCCATTTTTTTCGGGGTCTTGGTTTGAAGATCAGTTTTGTTCTCAGTGAAATTTATAGATCAGTCATTTTATCAGAAATAAGATTATGTTATAGGCTGACTGGAGATCTGAAATAGCTTTATGTGATGGAGGCAGATTGAGGCTAATAATGTCTTTGTGGAACCAATGTTTGTTGGATTAAGTATATTGACCCTGTATGATCAAGTAAGTGGTGTGTGTAATAGTATTATTTTCTTTAAAGAACTGGTACAAATTCCTTAAAATATTTTAATAAGTAATAGGTTACTTTAATTATGTCTTGTTCAGGAGTTTTACTCTTTATGGATTTATAAATTTATAGAACTTATCAGTTTAAAACTATAGTTGCGTTACAGATTTTTCATACTTTTCAATTTTAACTTTTTTTTTGGGATGGAAATGAAGTGAAAACTCCAAATATCAAAAGTACCACTTTTATTACTAGCATGAAGCTGATATAAAGTATATTATAGGATGTAGTTGAAACAAAAATTTCATATTTGGAAATTTTTCTTACCACTGTTAGATCTTGCTATACTTGTTTTTATCATTGAGATATAAATGAAAAGACAGTCTATAGGGATAAGTTTTAAACCTGATCTTTTAATAACTGAAGTTCTAGTAGAAAATTAGTTATTTTTCTGATAGTTACTCTTAGCAATTTTTTAGTGTAGAGTAGACTTTTAGATAAATAGATAAATGGATTTGTTGGATTATTGTTTAGTTCTCTTGGCAGTACTCATTCTAGAAACACTTCTGAGAAAGTGTTATCCTTCTTATAGACACTCCTTTATCCATTTTAATTAGGAAGATCACTAGAAGAGCAATAATGAATTATTTCTTATTTCTAAATAGATAATCAGATTTGATGTTGTGTTTGTAGCCAGATTTTAGAGTTGTATGTGGAAACATAACTAGTGATAGATAACTCTGTTAGAATGGGAATATTTGGTTGCCTATAGGGGATGTATTTATTGTACACGTAAATAAACTAGCCCTGTTTTTTAAATAAAAATCTATAGTTTTAAATCACTTGCTTTAATGGTATTGTGTCATGTTAAGAAAACATGCAATAGGACTGAGTTTAGCACTTTTATACGTCTCATTTGTATTTATATCCTACAGATTTTTCAATTCCATAAGATGTTTAAGTGTCCCTATACAAGTAAACTAGATTATTTATTAGATTAAGTTAATAGGTATGCTGTTATGTTTTCTAAAAAACATATTATGTATAATAAAAGTACATTCTTTATGATATTTTATCCATCTTCAGTTATGAGAACTTTGATTTGCCTTTGCTAGCCTAAAAGTTCTAGGCTAAAAATTTGAAACACTGTTTTTATTGTTTAGGACACTTGTGTGCTTATGTATTTTGTATTAAGGGCACTTAGAAGTGGAAATAGCTATTCAGATTACATTTATTCCTTAACATTTGTGTACCATGATGAGATTTTAAGTTAATTTTAGTTTAATACTAGTTTTTATCTTCATAAGATACAGAAAAGTAGATAATGCTTTTATAAAAATAAATATAAACCAGTAATGTAATAAGTTTTAAGGTAGAAGTTTGTAATACAATTTTAAATGTTAGAGAGCTAGAGCAGGCTAATTATTTCAGATTAAATTTTTTTTTTTTTCTTGACAGACCTTCCTGATGTAAATGATAAACAAAGCCAAGCCATAAATGATCTCCTAGAAGCCATATATCCAAGTGTGGACAAGCGAGAATATATTATTAAGCTAGAACCCATAGAAACTAATCAAAATGCAGTGTTTCAGTATATTTCAAGGACTGATAATCCTACTGAAGTCACAGAGTCAAGCAGTACTCCTGAACAAACCGAAGTTCAAATACAGGAGACTAGCACTGAACAGTCTAAAACAGTACCAGTTATAGATACAGAGGTGGAAACTGTAGAGCCCCCTCCTGTTGAGATTGTTGCAGATGAAGTTGCACCTACATCTGATGAGCAACCTCAGGAATCACAGGCTGACTTGGAAACTTCTGACAGTTCTGATTTTGGTCACCAGTTGATATGTTGCCTTTGTAGAAAAGAATTCAATTCCAGAAGAGGCGTTCGTCGTCACATTCGAAAAGTACACAAGAAAAAGATGGAAGAACTAAAAAAGTACATTGAAACACGAAAGAATCCAAACCAGTCCTCTAAAGGACGCAGTAAGAATGTTCTAGTTCCATTAAGTAGGAGTTGTCCAGTATGTTGTAAATCATTTGCTACAAAAGCGAATGTAAGGAGGCATTTTGATGAAGTTCATAGAGGACTAAGAAGGGATTCAATTACTCCTGATATAGCAACAAAGCCTGGGCAACCTTTGTTCCTGGATTCTGTTTCTCCTAAAAAATCTTTTAAGACTCGAAAACAAAAGTCGTCTTCAAAGGCTGAATACAATTTAACTGCATGCAAATGTCTCCTTTGCAAGAGGAAATATAGTTCACAAATAATGCTTAAAAGACATATGCAAATTGTCCACAAGATAACTCTTTCTGCAACAAACTCTAAAAGAGAGAAAGGCCCTAATAATACTGCCAGCAATTCAGAAATAAAAGTTAAAGTTGAACCAGCAGATTCTGTAGAATCTTCACCCCCTTCCATTACCCATTCTCCACAGAATGAATTAAAGGGAACAAATCATTCAAATGAAAAAAAGAACACACCGGCAGCACAGAAAAATAAAGTTAAACAAGACTCTGAAAGCCCTAAATCAACGAGTCCGTCTGCTGCAGGTGGCCAGCAGAAAACCAGGAAACCAAAACTTTCAGCTGGCTTTGACTTTAAGCAACTTTACTGTAAACTTTGTAAACGTCAGTTTACTTCTAAACAGAACTTGACTAAACACATTGAGTTGCACACAGATGGGAATAACATTTATGTTAAATTCTACAAGTGTCCTCTTTGCACTTATGAAACTCGTCGGAAGCGCGATGTGATACGACATATAACTGTGGTTCATAAAAAGTCATCCCGCTATCTTGGGAAAATAACAGCCAGTTTAGAGATCAGAGCTATAAAGAAGCCCATTGATTTTGTTCTAAATAAAGTGGCAAAAAGAGGCCCTTCGAGGGATGAGGCAAAACATAGTGATTCAAAACATGATGGCACTTCTAACTCTCCTAGTAAAAAGTATGAAGTAGCTGACGTTGGTATTGAAGTGAAAGTCACAAAAAACTTTTCTCTTCACAGATGCAATAAATGTGGAAAGGCATTTGCCAAAAAGACTTATCTTGAACATCATAAGAAAACTCATAAGGCAAATGCTTCCAATTCACCTGAAGGAAACAAAACCAAAGGCCGAAGTACAAGATCTAAGGCTCTTGTCTGGTGAGGAACAGTTACAGAGTTTTGCTTTTTTCTCCCCATCGAACTAAAAAAAATCATTTGACCATAATTTATAGCTGGTTCCATTTTAACACATGTTTGCTTCCATATATCTTATGGCAATGGGAACTGCAAGAGTAATGTGCATATTGCATTTACCTCTTCAGTGACCTTTATTCCAGTGGCTTGGGAACAAAAGTTAACTTCAGAACTTATCTTCCACAGGACAATGCATTATAGTTCTAGGTAGATGGCATAGGGTCAGTGCTTTCTTCTCAATGTTGTAAAATATATACATTTATATTGGCTTATGTTTACAATAGAAGTCTTCTGTTTAACTAACTTTGCACAGGTTTAATTTGATTTAGTGACTTAGTCTACTAATGAAAGCATTGTAGGAAAAGTTAAATATATTAGAATGAACTTGTGATGGCGATAATTATAGGAAAAAAGTCTTTTGAGGCACTGTAATTATTGTAAAAATTAATCTGTGATGGCTAAATAAAGTGCTGCACTAAGAAAAAGAAAATCCCCAAACTGAATTTAGAACAATAAGCAATTATTATTTATGTTTAACATAGTGCTTCCAGTCAAAGGGGGGAACCTTGATAAACAAAAGTTTGGATTTTTTTTTTCCTTCTCCTTGGGAGTGTGTGTTAGTTACAGTTTTTAGTTTTGATCTATGGAAAAAGTGATTATTTAGGTTCCAAATCTTACTTTTCCCTTTCTGTTTAAATAGACTTTTTGTGATCATTTCAACATAGTTAATATTATTAAGTAAGTTTTTTTTTTTTTGTTTTTTTTGTTTTTGTGGTTGTGCATTGCAAGAAAAGGAAAATCCCTATTGGGAAGAAAGAAAAAAATTTACTTTTTTAGAAGGTTTTGGAATAAATGTAGATTTTAAAAATGCAATATGAAATAAGGAATAGACTCCCTATACTTGTTTTTGCAAGTCTATCTATATTTTTAAAAGTTTACCTTCCGTACCTGTGTCCCCTTTAATAAGGCATTTAATATATTCAATTAGTATTAAATTAGTTTGGGATTCAGGTTTTAAAGCAGTATACTTAGTTTGAGTACTGAGTAGGTTAAATGTGATTTGAGTATCACAATGTTTTTATTTGGAAACTTGAGATGAAACCATTCTTTAGAAGTCATTTGCTATTGTATAATTTTAAAAACAAGGTTTTATTGGTAAACTCAAAGTGTTCATTTATCCCCATTTCTCCTCAGATAACTTCAAGTGATGTACGAAAAGGTTTGGAGTTCATTTTTGTGGAAAGACTTTAAATTGGTGTTAGAACCACTAAACGTCTTCAAATGGTACTATGAGAAAAAAAAGGAAAAACATTTTCATAAATATTCGACTGTAACTGCTGTTTTCTGACTAAAATAATAACCATCTAACCACTTGTTTCTAAGGCACTGCCTCTTCCAGCACTTTCCAGTAGCTGTGACATTACATATTGTCATCACAGTCCATCAGCTAACCACCCTTGACCTTGTGCATTTGGTCTACAGTTTCTACAAAAATGTTGCAAATTTTGTTTTCCAAACAATTTGTTGATTAAAGCGATCAACAACCTGAAGAATATATCACCACTGGTGATTTTTAATTGACAGAGACTTTATATCTTAGTGACTTTAGTTTTGTCTCAATTTATTTGGCAAAATTTTCATCTGGGTTGTACAGATCTATTTCCTAGTGAGTGTATGTTAGGACCAAAAGAGAAATTAGTATCAACATATAAATATTTAGCCTACTAAATATTTGTAATTATTTTTACATTATTTCTAACTTGTTCTCCAGCACTTAAATGTTTGAAAGTTTCATTCTAAATTATATTCAACAGGAAAGTTCCAGTTCATTTTCATCCATGGATCATTATTTTTATTTGTCAACACGTGAGGTTTTTATGAAAATTAAACATTCCCCTTTTTTTCTTTAAATTTTATACAAAGCACTTTAATAATAGATACAACTTAATTTTTCAGTTTCTATTTTTTTTAAACATCACACATTTACTAATGTTAATATGAAGGTGGTAAATAGCTTACTGATATTTTATGGATGCAGACAATCCATGCACAACCACTTCTTATGTTATTAGTTTAATTCTTTAAATATTGCTAAAAAAGGAAGATGGGAGTATAAACTCTGAATTTTTACTCCCAAGTGAAATCTTAAATGACTACTTTAGATGATATTTGATTCCTACTGTTAAAATAATGAATTCTTGTCCATTTTTGTAATCAAGATTTTAGGAAAAACAGAAGTACATCTATCTTTATGAAATATTGGGCAGGTTTTTGTGTATCAATATTTTGTACTTTTTAGGGAATATTTTATTTTTTAGTAATTTTTGTCAAATTATAATTTTAAAAGGTACAGCAGAGAATATACCATGTTTTTATATAGGTTCATACCTGTACTTAGGAGAGACCCTGTCCATCTATATACCTTTTGTATAAAATTTTAAAGTGTTGAAGATTCACAAGGTCATAATAAAATGCTTCTATAGCTAGAAAAACATTTACCCTTCCCAGTGCTTTGCACTAAAATATACTGTGAAAGGAAACTAGAAAGACTGTAACTGTTGCTGGAAATGTTCTATATTGAATGTACATGCTCTTGTTGGAAAAATGTACTCTATGTGATGGAAATAAACCAGACTCAAAGTTATTTCAGCTAAATGTGCTTGAACAAAGGTGCATTGGTTGAAACTTAAATGTTTTATCAAATTTAAATTTATTCAGTGACTATGAGCAGCTACATTTGAATTATACCCTGATAGTTTTATTTTTAAGAATTAGAGTGATAATTTCTCTTTAATTTAAAAACAGATTTACTTTTCCACATATGGAAAACTTGTACTTATAGATCTAACTTTAATGATTAATAGCATAATATATTTAGGGAACTAAATATGTAGGTGGTATTTCATTTATAAACCATCTTCATTAGTTGCACATTATTAAATCTGTATGTTTGACTTTTGCAAGGTGTTATCTTTTATACATTCTTACACACAAGACATATTCCAAAGGTATATTCCAGACTTAAGTACCTACAATCAGTTCTTTGCTACAGCTTCTCATTTGTGTGTCAACCTCTTGCTTTCTACTTTACTTGTTAAATACTGTAGGGAATAAAAAAAAGAGCCTGATTTTGGTGGAGGGGAGCCCAACTGCTGGAATTCCTTTATTTCAACTCCCCTATTTCCGCAGTACCATTCATAGTTTGTCTCTGCCATCATAACTCTAGGCCCACAGAGCAGGAATTTAGAAGGAGGAATTGAGGGTTCCAAGGACTGTCAAAAGGTTTCATCTGGGTCATAGAGGAAGCAATAACATTTTGTCAGGATATGTCTATCTAAATTAGAATTGCCTAGAGAGATTGAGGATATTTTCTCATAGTAGCCAAATTAATGGATCATGGCAGATAGGAGTTAGAAGCTAAACAAGTTTAGAAAGGTGGAATGAACAAATAAGTCATTAGAAGTTCTTTGTTCTTCATTTCTTTCTTCTTACTTTTTGGTTTTATTTTGATTTGTGAGCTGCCTTCTCAGAGCCTGAGGCTTGAGGCTCTTAAGAAGAGTCCTAGGAAATTTGTGGCAGAAGCTTTTCTGCATGTATGCTATATAAGCAAATATTTATAGCACTTTTATTGTGGGGAGGAGTCGTTAGTCAGGTAGAGAGCCATCAGAAACTGCTTATTTTATATTAAAACCTATCTTTGACTACCAATTATATCTACCTTTGCTGTATTTGAGCAGTTAAGAGTTTTCCTGTAGAATTCAACTCCTCTTGTTTCCTGAGATACCTTCCACACGTAAGTGCTGTGGAAGAGGAAGAACGATGAAAAGTTTGGCTTGTATTTCAACTTCATAAGTTTGGGTAGTGCAAGTGAGAGCTGGATGAGGTATGGCTGCCACTGGGCAGGTGTTTATTAGAACATGGAGATATAGACCTTGAATGTATGATAACTTTTTTTTTCATGTCTCTTTCTCCCTCTTTCCTCCCAACTTCAGGAAGAAAGCCTTCTTCTTGAAAAGTATATATATTCTTTATTCTTGTAGAATATATAAATTACCCATCCTTAATTTTTGGCCCACTTTTGTATATATGAGTTTTTAAAGGTATGTATTATATTGCTTTATGATCAATAGACTCTTCTACTCATTTTGCTTAAAAGAGCCCATGGATGCAGTAGCAGGGAATTTTATGGTCTTGCTGTGGCTGGAGTTTACCAATGACTCCACTGGTATGACTGTTATGACAAGAAAGTATTGAGAGAGAGAGACACAAGTCGGTATCATTTTCTATTGTGAAGTTGCAAAAGATGTTTTCATTTAAATAGCATGACCACTGAGAAAGAAATGCTTCTTAAACTTTAGAAATTAGATGTCCAGGTTTCCTACAGTGGCCCATGGAAGTATTCTAGATCCTTAGTTAGGGGTTTTAGAAGTTATTTTGAATGGAATCCATAAATTACCAGAATTATGATTTAGCTGTGACTCTAATAGTTGATCTGAAGCCGAGCTCTAAGATATGTGTAGCATGTTGGTGGTTGTGGTAGACAAAATCCTTCTGTACTCTGCTATTCTTTCCATCTTCTCCAACTTGAGAAACCTCAGGATTGGAAGGAAGTAAGGCTCAGCAGTCTTAAAAATGGCTATTGTTTGGTTTCTAAGGAATTGGGCACATGATAGAGTGTAGAATAAAACATGTTTCACTTAAATTCACCTGCAGTTATTTTGACTTTTCTAACTTTCAAAATAACTCCTCTCTCCCAGATTTTGTTTCTGTAACATTTTACTCTGAGTTCTCTTCTGAATTTCTGGCTCTTTCTTTTTTTTTTTTTTTTTGCTTCTGTACCAAGTACCAAGATAGCCAAAAGGTTTTTTGATAGGGTAAGAGGTGGAAAGTTAGCTCATTTCTTCCTGAATATTTATTGCTCTAAATTCAATTTCTCAGGTTTATTATTTCTTTTCGAACTACTTCTGCATGTATTCACCACCACCGCACCCCAAGCAGAAGGGCACTTAATGAAGACCATAGTTGTGTCTGGTTGAGAAAATGCCTGAAGTTGGAGGTTTTGCTGTTTGTGCCCACTCAGCAGAGTTAATTTGCTTGATTGTTTATTTTTTAAGTCAGGGACTATGTCTTGATAATTTTGTTTAGTGCCTAGCACATTTTCATGTATTCTCAGGCACTTTAAATAAAAACTTGATATTCAAGTAAGTGATTTAGCTTTTTCCATCTCAGAATTATGCTGTCATATACTTTGAGACTTTGGGTTTTAATTTCATAAACTTTTAATGTTTATTTTTAAGAGAGAGATAGAGACAGAGTGTGAGCGGGGGAGGGCCAGAGAGAGGGAGACATAGAATCTGAAGTAGGATCCAGGCTCTGAGCTGTCAGCACAGAGGCCGACACGGGGCTTGAACTCCTGGACCACGAGATCATGACCTGAGCCGAAGTTGGACGCTTAATGGAGTGAGCCACCTGGGCGTCCCATAATTTCATAAACTTTTATTGTCTCAATGTTGATTTTACTTACTTTAGGAAATGCTGCCAGTACTAAGATGATAGTTTATAATAATAAACAGAACTCTTCGTATTAGATAATAATAATGAACATTCATGGAGTGCTTACTGTATGCTAAGCACTCTGCTATCCTTTACATGCATAATGCCCCTCATCTATCAAGAAGACCCACCAGTAAAATCCACCAATAAGAGCTGTTACTTCATTATCTCCATTTTATAGAATAGGAAGTTGAAGCTTAGAGGATTTCAGTGATTTACTTAAGTTCACATAGCTAGTGAATTACAGAATCGAGACTTGACGCTAGGTCTGACTACAAAGCATGTGCTGTTAATCCGTGCATATTACATTTGCACATGGTACCGTTTGCAAAGCACATTCACCACATTACCTTAATGGTAGCTTAGTGTAATGATCTGGAGCTAGATTAGTTGTTGAAATTTTTGTATTCACACATTATTTCTTGTGTGGCTTTGTACAAGTTACTTAACATTCTGTGTCCTAGTTACCTCACCTATGAAATGTGGATAACATCTACCTTATGGGGTTCTGAGGATAAAATGAAAAATACATAAAACATTTAAAATAGTGCTTGGCTTGTTACAATAAATGTTAGATATGGTTACCATAAGTGATTTTCATAGTATTTGAAGTGTGTAATGATTTTTATTACCACTAAAAGTTTAGATGGAAATGGATGCATTAGACAAGAACTTTATTGCTACATATCAGATTTTAACTCCTGCTTTGTATTTCATTGGGACAATGAAGACAACCAACTGCATTATTATTTGCTATCAATTTTCTTCTGATCAGATATTACTAGTTTACCATTCTCATAAATTTTTCATTCCTCTTGAAAAAGGTATTAGGTAGTTTTAAGCACATTCATTTTAAGTTTGGCTTTGTTTTTATGGTTACTCCCCAGAATAACCCATCTATCTTAAAATTCTTATCAGTGTCTGCCCCATCACACAATTATTTTATTTTTGGTTATGTGCAGAATATTGACATGGAGCAATATTAATAGAGTAACAGCTGAAACATTTCTATAAAATAAACGCATCTATGCAGTTTTATTTGAAAGAAAGCTTCAGTTATGGAATGAGTGGATTCTTCAGGAGAGCACGATTTGGGCTAAGTCAGGAATTTCTTTGGTAAATATGTCATGAAGAGGTGAGAACTGATAATTTCAAAAGTCTTACCACTGGTTGTCATTAGTGCAGTACTCCAAATTTCACTGGGGCCCAAGTACTGTTAGATTATCTGCCGAGAGGATTTGCCCACACACCTGATTGTTCTTGATTTTACTATTTTAACAATAAAATAAGGATTTTAGAAACTTTAATATTTAGGGACTTGTATAATTTGCAACACTAGAGGACCTTTGTCCTAGGTTTAGGGAACCTTCATGTTCTGAACTTCAAGGGCTAGGGTTCCAGCGCCTGTGCCGTGTGGATTCTTAGTGATCCACTTAAGTATTTGTGTCAGGTATCTGGAACATATTCCTGGCACTCAAAGCACTGTGATGTTTAAGGCATAGAATGATAATGTTTGAAAAAAATAGCCAAACCAAAATAAACCAAAAAACAAAAACCAACCAAAAAACCTCACTTTGAATGCTTGTGCGATAATAACTTGAAGCTATCTGGGTGTCCTGCTTTATATAATCTCATAACACTTTCAGTACAAGAGTGTGTAATGATATTATGTTGAGAGGAAAAGTTATTACACCAAGATGAACCCTAAGTGCATGTAACTGTCATTACAACTCAAGTTCTGAATATTGGTTTTTAATCTCTTCTATCTGTGGGATTATACTGAAAATAAATTAGCTCTGAGAAATGGAACTGTGGCTTTTAGTCAGACTTTCTAAGCTGTGCAAAAATATTTTTTAAAGAAGCTTGAGACCCTTCTTGCATAGATTGGGGCTTTGGTAGACCTGAACCTCAAAATACCTGTTAGTTGTGACTAGTGGCTTTTATTATGGATGGAAGAAAGAAGCAAGGAATACTTTTCTTCTAAGAAGAAATAGTGAAGCACTAGGAACGTATTGTATGCACAAGTGATTGAATTATATGAGAAAAATACTTTTAGGGAAAGGATTTTTATGTAGTTTCCTTGAATTTTTG